AAGCAGTTTGCCCTAAAATAGGCAGGAACTTCCCACTCTTTAGCATTCTTACCTATGGAGGCTTTTAGAGGCACACCCAAGCTGCTTCTCTACAGGACACACCTAACAGCATCTGACACACACAATAGCCATTTAAGGTTTGTTTATTTGTTTTGTTTTGTTTTTTGTTTTGTTTTGTTTTTTGTTTTTTTTTTTGTCTTTTGTTTCTCACAGGGTTTCTCTGTGTAGCCCTGGCTGTTCTGGAACTCACTCTGTAGACCAGGCTGGCCTCCAACTCAGAAATCGCCTGCTTTTGCCTCCCAAGTGCCATTTAAGTTTTTATATTTTGCTAACAATTAGGTTTTCTGTGAACCATAATCAAATATCCTGCAACAGGAGTTAATCTCATTGTGTCACTGGTTAGTGCCAAAGCCTCTCCTGACTGCTTCTAGATCATTAGAAAATTGTGTTGTGGGGATGATGAAGTTAGGAAGCATGAGAAAAAGTCTGTATCTTTCAAAAACTAAAGCATTTAGTTCCAAATCTGAAAGAAATACAGTCAGAATACATTTTAAAAACTAAAGCATTGCAACCTGTAGAGCAGAAAATACAGTCAGCTAGAACCGATGGCTGCCACCTGGTAGTCACTAGCGTTGTTAGCACACAGCTTTTTTTTTTTTCTTTTTTAGCTGGTAAATTTTTTACAGAGATATAATTCATATGCCATACATTTGCCCTTTAAAGCACACCCTTTTACTTACAGATATAAGACACTTTGTACCACACACTGTCTGCTGTGTGCTTTATACCCTAACATTTTCTGTTCAATGCATAGTGAGTAGCTTCCTTTTACCAGTGTTGTCTGAAGATATTTTGATTATTTCATTAGTATGCTATAATTTAATGGGTTCCCTTATATCGGAGCATTTAAATTTCCTACAGTTATTTTACTAATATAAGTCTTTGCTTAACTGATTCTAAAATAATTTTTCTGAGCCTGTAATCATGAAATATAAACACAAAGACTTCTTAAGACTATTATCAAATTCTCTGCTAAAACAAAGGATCTAATGATTTCGATTTCCTGCCTAACTGGAAATTTTCTCATAAACTTTTCAATAATAAATTGTTTTATTTCATTTCATATATCAGGAAACACTATTTTTAGGTTTCAAGAGCAAACTTTTACACTCTAGTTATACAGATGGGCCGAGAACATTGTCGTCCCCTTTCTGTGTAGCTTCTTCGGTGAGCAGGGTAATGAGTCGCAGCATGGCATTTCCATATCCGCCTGTCATGGCGCTGGAGCACGCTCGCCTCCCATCCTTCTCTCTTCTTCCCCCATGCTAGCCTCTTCCTTTCTTTTATGTCTCTTTGTTAAGGTTCTGTATATGAGAGAAGATGTGTTTGTCTTTCTGAACCTGCTCTATTGACCTAATATGTCCAGTTCCTTCCATTTTCAATCATACAACTTCTTTATGGCTGAATACAATGGCATTGTGTGTGCAGAGCACGTTTCCTTTTCCCTTTATTCTGATCTGGACGCCTATGCAGAATCTATACTGTAACGCAGTGTTGACCTTGGGAAATTTGAAAGTTTTCAAAGCACAGGAGGATGCTAAAGTCACTATTCAAAAATCTATCAAGATTCCAAGGACTCTAAGGTGAACTCCAGCTGAACCAAAAATCAGTATGCTCAGGGCACTTGAGGATGGTACAAGAGTAGCCAGGTTTACCGTCACCCAGTCAAGATACACACACACACACACTCTTGAGATGGGCGCCAACAAGGATGTTCTTAGTTGTCACTCTGCAAGATAGCAAGTACCTGAAAACTTACTTGTCTCTGATTCATCACCAGCCTCCCCCACTGGGGACTGGCTACATTTCCTACTTGTCCACTGTAATCTCTGGGACAGACTGCAGCTCCCCACTCAGATGCAGAGAACTTACCACCCTTCTCTCCTAAATTCTGCAGACATTTCTTCTGCTCGTCAGTTTACTCATTGTTGTGACCACTGATACCTCTCGGGCTGCATAAAAAGCTACCACACACACACTTCTCTTTCAATTTTGTGTTTATTTTAATGAAAAACTGAAAGAAGTTTTACTGTTCATTTTTAAAGCTCGTTTCTCAGCATCAGTTTGTGCTGTTTTAGAAAATTACAGCAAGAATCATTAGCTTGCAAGACTTACTCAATGCTCATAACATACCTCCCCTCTTCGACAGTTGAAGCATTTCATTCAGTTCCCATGTTAATTCTATCATGTATATAAAGCTGAGGCTGCAACCAGGTCCCTGTGCAGGTCCCATGCTCCTGTGACTGCTGAGTGACATGGTAGACATTGACTCCTTCCTGACATAGAAGCCACCAGATCAGTCTGATACTCACAACACCCACTCCAGTTTCATGATCAGATTCCTATGTACAAATCGACAGACTTGCAATTAATATGAAAGTGTTTCTGTTTTAATTTTTATTTACAACAAAACTGCATTCACAGTCATACAGTACATGATGAATCAGTTCTGTGAAGAGTCCACAGTTCCCACTACTCTCTTCACTTGGCTCAAGTTGTCTTGTACCTGATTTTTGAAAAACCTGATTGAGAATACAAATTTTCCAGGGCCAGTATGATGGCCTAAGTCCTCTTGCTTATTTGTTTTATATGTAAGATGAGAATAATACTATATCCAAAAGTCCAGGATCCAGAAGAAAATGCTATGAACTCTAACTTCGAACTCGCTGTTAATGCTGCACTTCTGTGCTAAGCACTCACCCCCATAGTTGAGTGGATGTGAGGCGTCCCTTCTCCAGGAGGTTTTATAGTGTGTTGCTAATATTTATAGTTATGACTCTACTGTTGTGTTCTTTATTGCCATTTCTCTGGTATTGGATGTTCCTGGGGTAGCTGGTTGGCAGCCCGACTTTGTGGTGCAAGCAAGCAGACATTACCTTAACTCATTTAGTTTCAAGTAGATTTTTTTTACAGCATGTAATTTTTTTTAAGCCCAAATACAGGATGTAACCATGACATATAAGAGGCCACCTCAGCTTCTTGGTCTTCTTCTACCTTCACACTCTCAGTTGCTGCTACCTCACATGCTTTCTGATAGAGTGCAATCTCTTTCAGAAACTGGTAGGGCTAACCTTAATGTCTAAAAGTAGAAATACACATAGCAGTGAAATCTGTGGCATAAACTTTAGAGAGCCATTAGGAGAGCCCAAGCGTGATGGCACACACCACGGGAGGAAGGTCACGAGTCTCAGGCCAGTCTGAGATGCATAGCAAAACTACCCTCAAGAAACAAAAAAGCAAAGCATTATGACAAATTTAAAGTACGATCAGCATTTAACCTAATATTTTGAATTTTAATTAAAAGTGTTAAACTGCCTCTACAATTATATGCATAATTAAGCTGTTAGATTAAAGAATTAAAATACTCCTGGAAATGTTGCCACACAACCTCATGAGGCAGAGAGATGGCTGGTCTCAGGTGTACCTATATACGAAGCAAGTTCTAGGACAGTCTCGACTTTATAACATAACCTGTCTCAAAAACAAACCAAAAGTTAAAATATATGTGTTACACCATTTTCTAGAGCAAGTAATCAGCATTAGTTTACTATATTTTACATACTTTACGGACACTTACAGTTATAAATAACATAGTCACTTACCTAGCTGGTATCGCCTATGATGCCACTGATAGTCAAGAACTTTCACTGTAGGCATATCATACTCAGTGAAAAATCAAGATAGTAACATGTAACCTCCCAGATCTGATCACAGCAGTTTCTATAACTGCACAGTAATATTCATCACTAATTGTGAGGTAAATACTATTTATTATTTCTAGGGTTTTTTTTCTCTCATTGACATTTATTATCTTTTTTAAATTTGGAGTTTAATGTTAAAAATATATAACTAGGAATAAATTATTCAGTTCAGCCAACATACAAATAATTAGCCATTGATGTACAACTCAAAAATACTGTCTACCAAAAATTGTGTGTCAACTTAAAAATTGTCCTTTTTTAAAACAATAAAGTAGTAATAGTAAGACAATTATGACAAAGTCAAAAACATAGCAAAATTAGAACAAAACTAATTATCAAGCACTGCTTTAGCTCAAAGTAGAGACCTTCCTTTTGTGGTTCCCAACCCTCAGTGCACAGTCCAGGGCAGAGGTGGAGAATCGGCGCTTTTAAAAAGTTACGTGGAAAGCCCACTTCCAGATAACTAAAGGGAATCTCTAGAGTGGGGCTCAAGCAAAGATTTTTAAAGTACTGTCAGTATTGAGAACTGCAGCTGTAAAGTAAAGGTAACAAAAAAAAAAAAAATGAACAACCTGCCTGTTAAACAAGGTGGAAAGAAGAAGGGGCTCAGGAAAGTTGATCGTCCTACATGTGCTATGGCCTGCATAGGCCAACACACACAAATAATAATAATTTAAAAGGTTTTAAGAGAAAGGGGTCTGAAAACTTGAAAGAACTTCAGATCTCTACTTTCCAGTGAGACATTACTAGGAGCAATATCACCTCAGAATGGACAGTGGGCTGGAAAACAGTAAGCTAAGAGAGTGTTTTAGGTTCAGAATAGTATAGCTTTCCAAAACATGGGTGGGACTTCTTTGAATTAGTAAACCCAAAACTGATTTTAACAAACAAGACAAGACAGGAATCATGCAATACAAACCAGTGTCCAGTGCCCACGAGGAGGAAAGACTATAAGAATTCAAGTGTGTATGACTGAAAATTGATCTTGCAGAAACTATAGTATCTTTGTGCTCAAATTTAGAATTCTTTGGTTCCTGGTTTTACATTAAAGATAATGACTAAAACTGCCAACTTTATTTCTTACCTAAATTGAGTTGTTTGTTTTAGAAAGGGTTTTTTCCTTAGTGCAGCCTGAGTTTGGGGGAATGTGAATACTAACTGAGTTTGGGGGAATGTGAATACTAACTGAGTTTGGGGGAATGTGAACACTAACTGAGTCATGGCTCTTCTTTGCTGCAGGTAAAACACTAGTCAAGAAACTGGCAAAAAAGGTAAGCAGTATGGGGGAGGGGGGCTTGTTGTGTGTAATTTTAAAAAAACACACTTTTGCCTTTGTCAGTGACCCGTGGCCTGTGCTCTGGCCCCTCCCAGCTTAGCTCCGAGATCACTGCCACCAGCCTCACTCCCAGCTTCTCTTTTGTTCCTCTGGCTTAGCTTCACCAAGCCACCAGCTACCACCTTTGTCTGGAGCTTTGACCCTGGAGCTGCTGCCCATGCTCTGGCCCTCCCGGTTCCCTTTTGTTCCTCCCATCTTTGCTTCACCAAGCCTCTATCCCTGACCTGGCTTCTCTCTCTACCCTCCTTTGCTCTGAGGATGGAAAACACTCAGACAGCTTTATTACTTTAGAATTTGCCGGCTAGCACAACTGCTGGGCACAGAATCTCCTACCCTTAACTTATCAGCTAGCCTGTATCAGCCAGCCTCCTCTGACCTCCTTTGCCTATCTGCTAGTTCTAGCTTCCCCTAGATCTTACATGATAGCTGCATGTTTCTCATTCCAAAACTTGGCTGAAAAAGCCCCCATCCCCCACCACCACCACCACCCCACACTCAGACTCTTTTCCTGTGTCTCCTTTTCCTCCTGGGACCCAAAAGTCCCACCTGTCCCTTCCACTGAGCACTTGGCTCCCAGCCTCCTTTTTTTTTTTTTTTTTTACCAAATCAAGAACCAACTAGGAAACCAGACTTTAATATCAGCACCTCCCCCTACAGGGGCTTTTATTTGTCTGTTTTGGGTGACATGGAAGATGGTCTTGTATACCTTAAATTGAAAGGTTTTAATTTGTGTATTCAAAGGACATCGAGGATGTACTGTCAGGAATCCAAACAGCACATTGTGGATCAACGTTTTTTAGAGACCTGGGTGATAAAGGTAATCTTCAGTCATTGTTAGATTTGTGTGTGTGTGTGTGTGTGTGTGTGTGTGTGTGTGTGTGTGTTTAACTAAGCAGTGTTAGGTAATTAAACTGGGATAATTATGCCATATGACTTAATAGGTGTTTCATGGCATAATAAATGATTCATTGTGTAAGAGATAACTTTCTTGAGTTTTTAAGCAGTTAAAGATAAATTATTAGAACATCAGTGGTGAAGCCCTAGAGAAGGGATGAGGGAGTATGTGAAGTGAGGGGTTGGCAAGGGTCAGAGAGCCCTGAAGCTCGCCATGCAAACGAGGTGAAGGCTCACAGAGGCCAGGTAGCACGGCTAGAGAAGCAGAGGGCACCATGGGAGAATGCTTCACGGAGGCTGAAAGAAGAGCATGTTAAAGACAAGAGTTAGGCCAGGAATGCAGGCACAACCCTGGAATCTTTGCCTTTGGAAGGCTGTGCCTCCAAAAGTTTTCCTGCACAGACTGAAATGGTGATGTGATGTCAGTCCATTAAGACTGAATTACATCTCTCGATTTGCATATCTTAAACCATCTTTGCATCCCTGGAACATAACCAACATGGTCATAGTGCTTGTGCTCCTTAATGCACTCTTTTTTAAAAAAAAAAAAAGTTTTTTCCAAGACAGGGTTTCTCTGTGTAGCCCTGGCTGTCCTGGAACTCACTCTGTAGACCAGGCTGGCCTCAGAAATCCGCCCGCCTCTGCCTCCCAAGTGCTGGGATTAAAAGTGTGTGCCACCACCGCCCAGCTTCCTTAATCCCTTCTTAAATTTAATTTGCAAATAACTGAGAATATTTGTGTCTGTCTATCAGGAAAATCAGTCTGCAGTTTTCTGTTGTTGCTGTATTCTTATGTGGTTTTTGGTATCAGGGTTAATACCAGCTTCTCACAATGAGTCTGTAGTTTTCTTATGTTTTTATTTTATGCTGCAGTCTGAAGAACATGAGCAGTGTCTCTGAGTAGGTTTGGTAGAATGAGGGAAGGAGTCGGTCTTGGTGGTCTTGAACAACTTTAATCTCATTCCTCATTGTAGACATGTCTAAATTAATTCTACCCTCTTGATTTAACTTTGGTAGGTTACCTGTGTCTGTGAATCCTCTTCTTTGGGATTTTCTGGGGTTTTTTGAATATAAATTTTCAAGGTTGTCCTTCAGATGATCCTCAGGTCTCCAATGGGGTCTGCTATAATGTCACTGTTTTTATCTTTCATTTGATTCATTGTATCCTCCCTCCCTTTAAATTTGACTAACAGTTTGTCTGTCTTGTTCATTTTCTAAAAACTGACTGTCTTTGTTTTATTAAGTCTTTGTATTGTTCTTTTAATGTCCAGTTCATTAATTCATAATTTCTGCCCTTACTTTTCTTGCTGTCTTCTACTTTGAAGTTTGCCTTGTTCTTGTTTCTCTAACACTTAGATGTACCTTTAAGTTTCTCAAATATGAGATCAGTGTTTTTCAGTATATATGCATATGCTGATATGTACAGTTCCATGTGAAGACCTGAAAACTACCCATGGTGCCATACTCAGGAACACTGTCCACCCCCTTTCAGACAGGATTTCTCATTGGCCTGGATCTTACCCATTAGTCTAGACTAGTCTGTGAATCCCAGTGATCTTCTTCACCAACCCCCAGTGCTGTGGTTACAGCATGCTCCTCTGTTCTGGGCTGTTCTGCTGCACGTTTGGGGGCCACTCTGTACTGGCCCGAGCTGCTGCTCCGGTCCACAGGTCAGGGTCTAGCAAGAGAGAGACTGGGGATGGAGGGGCAAGAGACTCAAAGAATGGAGACAAGACAGAAGGTCTGATCAAGTCTCATTTATTGAAAGGAAATCCTGGATATTTATACGCTTTACCACGTGCCTTGCCCTCGTGGACAAGCAGGGGAACACAGCTAAAGGCACTATGTCACGTGCCTGGATTCCCACGTGTTTAGCACTAAACAACAAAACAAGATATGTGAGAAAAACAGGATGTTTATCAGAGTGTGCTCAGCTGTTGCGGGCTGTTGAAAACAAGTCTCTTGTCAGGGTATATGGCTCGAGATGGCTGCAAAGATGATAGCCGCTTTCTGCTAGGAGTCGGCTCCCAACACTCCTCCAGCCTGGGTTTTTGTGTAGTTGCTAGTATTTGAACTCTGTTCCTTGTGCTTGGAAAAGAAGGAACTTTACTAACCCAGCCATCCCCAGCCTGTGGCTCTCCCTTCTGCTTGGCTGTCATTGGCCACTGACCCTCCAGGTCAGAGAGAACAGAAGCAATGAGCAAGGTTCAGACGAGTGAGTGAGTATGATGGAATGACAGTCGGAGACAGCTTCCGTGAGACAGCTCTAGTTTATTGTTCAGGGTTAGAGTATATAAGGGCTCTTAAGGCTAAGGATGGAAAGGGCTGATTGGTCAGAACATAGTTACTAATTATCATAAGGGTGGAAAGCTAGAGGGGTACTTGTGTGCTGAGTCAGAGAGCTCTGCACAGGGTCATTCTTCAGAAAAGGTCAGGCATCTGTACTCAGAGAGACGTTCCAAGTATGGAGAGGCAGAGTAAGGGAAGCCCCGCTGAGAAAGGGAACCCTCCATTTTACTCCAAGCTCAGAAAGCTCTCCAGACATGATGGACTACAACCTTTATAGCAGGATTCTCCAACAACAGCCCCTCTGTGGTTTTTAACATGGCAGTCATAGTTATAAACTCAACAGATGTCTTACCGGTATCCCAAAGGTTCTGATAAGTTGTGCTTCCACTTTTGTTTGATTTGAGGAAGTTGTCAGTTTCTTCAGTGACCCAGTGATTCATTACCTAAAAGTGCATTACACAAAATAAGACTGCATTATACAATATAGAAATACATGTTCGGTTTCAATGGGTTCCTTAACTGTTGATTTCTGCTTTTATTGAGTATGATCTGAATAGCCCTGGTTGTCCTTGAACTCACTCTGTAGACCAGGCTGGCCTCGAACTCAGAAATCCGCCTGCCTCTGCCTCCCAAGTGCTGGGATTAAAAGCGTGCGCCACCACCGCCCGGCCGCTTCTTTCTATATTTATTAAAACTTGCTTTCTGGCCTATGATGTGATCTATTTTAGAGAAGTACTCAGAAGAAAGTTGGATAGAGTACTCTGTAACTGCCTTATTGAGTCCGTTTTAATCTGTGATGCTTGAAATCCATTAGTCTTCAGAATTCATTTGCTTTTGCAGATAACCAGGCTTCTGGTCCCAGCACCCATCCATAACTCCAGTTCCAGGGATCCAGTACCCTTTTCTGACCTCTGAGTGCCCCAGCCATGCAAGTGGTACACATGTATTCACATATGCAGACAAAACATTCATACACATAAAAAATTAAAAATGCTAGGATAAAGGCAAAATACTAATAAAAAATAGTATAAAGGAAAAAAGGAGAAATGACAGTAACAAGGTGAAGTATCAGGGGAGCTCTTTCTGAGTACTCTAGGATTAGACTCTGCAGTGGGTGATCAGGAACACTGTCAGTTGAACTGGCAGACCTCTGTCTTGCCATGATTAACACTGCTGTGAGCCTGAACTGGCCGTGGGTTAAAAGTCAGCCAGAGCAGACTTCACTTGAGTAGCTTCCCTTTGAGTGTAGGGGCCCTCTGTTGGCCATAGTTAGCTTTGCAGACTGTGGGCCTGACAGGTTTTCCCATCCTCCGGAGACTTAGGAGTTGTTATCCACAAGAGCCTCATACTTGAGGGCATCTCCCAAGTGTGTTGGGAGTAAAGGAAGAAAAACACACCACAAAGATCTTTATAGACAGGCCTGTCCCTTTACTTTGAAAACTCACTTATTGATCCTGCTGGAGAGCTGCAGCTGTGGAGAGATAATTCCCTATAGCTCTAGAATTCTAAGTCTTTACAACAGGACCTTCCTGGCAAATAGATGCCTCTTAAGGATGACCGACCCACTGACCTCAAGCTTAGGGCTACCAGACTCCATGTTATTCTCAGTTGAAGAGATCTGCCCCTAGCCACTAAGAGCAAGATGTCTTCCTCCTATAGTCCTCACTGTCTGACCCCAGCCTCCAGCCACCTGCAAACTCTTCATACCTACCTCACCCTGGGTCTGTGGTCAGTTGATTTCAGAGTCCTTGATTTGTAATTATCTCTTGTTCTTGGGCCCCCCAAGGTATCAGTCTTAAATAGTAGGTTCCTGGTCAAGGTGGCACCCAGCTACAGCCCTCCCAAGTCATGAGGAATGACAATATGGAACTGCTCAGCAGTGTGAACCATGCGTTCTCACCAAAACCCAAACGGAATTGAGGTTCCCTACAACTGTGAGCTTGTGTGCTGAGCAGTATTGCTCTTCACCATGGCCACCTGTGTTTCCTTTTAGCTAGGCTTCTGCTCTCCACCCACACACACTGGAGCTGCACCACCAGAACTATTTGGCTTTGAATCCCCCGTGGGCTTCTCCAAGCTCTCCTGTCACTCCTTTGTGATATCTAATGCTGGTCCCTTTCTCCCTCTGGAATCCAGTCTGCTGTATTTGATCCTGGTTCTTCTCCTCTATCATTCACATGTACCAGCTACTAGCCTACCATTTTTGTCCTGAGTACTTGGTGCTTAGAGTGATATAGGTTAGTGAGGGAATGAGATCTGTAGCCATGTTACAAGTTTTTGAGAAATGGATGCCATCATGAGAAAAGTATATGAAACCTGGTTGAGAGACCTACACACAAGCAGAGGAGTTCGAAGGAGGAAGCTGAGGGTGAACAGAGAGTTGAGGGCATGTTTGTTCAGTTAGGATGGAGAGATGTGAGCATATTTCTTTTTTTTTTAAAGATTTATTTATTTTATTTATGAGTACACTGTAGCTGTCTTCAGACACACCAGAAGAGGGCATCAAATCTCATTACAGATGGTTGTGAGCCACCATGTGGTTGCTGGGATTTGAACTCAGGACCTCTGGAAGAGCAGTCAGTGCTCTTAACCACTGAGCCATCTCTCCAGCCCCGTGAGCATATTTCTTATTGAA